TTTTTTTATTTAGTTTAAGGAGAAAATATGAAAATATAAAAATATTTGATTTTGTATGAAAAATACGTAACAAATGCTTTTTCATTTTCACTGCTAAGGTCTTCAGCAACTTTTTATTTTAATATTTTTAATTGAAAGATCATTTAATTTAACATAACATATAAAAAAAAAATAGTGATGTTGGAAGAGTCGTTTTGGAGATACAATTTTTAACACACATAAAACAAGGAATCCAAATTGTATCTCCGAACGACTCCTTCGACATTGCTAATTTTTTTTATATGTTTTGTAAAATTAAATGATCTTTCAACTAAAAATAATAAAATAAAAAGTTTTTGAAGACCTTCGCAGTAAAAATCAAGAAAAAGTATTTGACGCGTATTTTGTTCATACAAAATCAAAATTTTTTGAGCGTTTCGTAATTTTATAAAATATAAATAAAAAATCTTTCATTTTCGGGGTCAACCGTCAAAATAGGTCCAGTGGTTCAGAAGTTATTAACGGATGAAAAAAAAGCATTTTTGAAAAAAAAAATGTTTTTTTTTTATCTCCCTCACACGGAAATGATCACCCTAATGGCGGAACAAAAAAAGGAAATTGCTCTAATTGAGCCCATCGCTAAAAATCTGCTATTTATCAATTGTATCTAGATGAACGCGTCATTGGGACGATACTAATGGATATTTTTGGTCGCTTTTGAATATTTAGTCGATGCTGAATTTATGTATGGGCCCAAATTAGGGGCATTTAGCCTTACATTACATCGATTGCCCCTATATTGTAGGGTATTTGACAGTATTTCCCACTTTGTCTGAAACCGGAAGCCACCTTTTTGGATTTCTTTTTTCGTTTAAATACTCATAAAATCTACTAGTGGGCAAAATTTCATAAAATTCTGAGACCCTTCGGACCAAATCTGTCCGATGAAACACAAAAAAAAATCCCCACTTGAAAAAGATCCTAAAATCCTTAAAAAAAAAACACACAATTCATCGAGTAGAAAGTTCTAGATCAATCTATCCTCATACAGTGCACAGTGGGCCAGGAATGAATTCCAGCAGGAAAAAAATATTAACGTTCTGGGATTGCAACCAATTGAAAACATAATCAGCCAAATTTCTTGACTTAGTCAGGACTATAATTTGGTAGATAGATTTATAGGAAAGTTTGAACATACTGATAGGTAAGCGCATATCATCGGTAAGAGACGTGTGTGTGAGAAAATTTGCGAAAAAATCTAAGGGCACCGGTGGGATTCGAACCCACAAATACCATTCAGTACACGGGTGCATTGCCAATTATATAACGGTGGACCTATGGTCTACGGATGTATTTGGCTAATGACATTTGAGTTTCGAATCCGTTCCCCACCGTTGTATAATTGGCAATGCACCCGTGTACTGAATGGTAATTGTGGGTTCGAATCCCACCGGTGCCCTTAGATTTTTTCGCAAATTTTCTCACACACACGTCTCTTACCGATGATATGTGCTTACCTCTCAGTATGTTCAAACTTTCCTATAAACAATTAAATTGACTGCAGAGTCGCTAAACCGTAAATCAAAAAATTTGGTAGAGAGAAATAGTTCAAATTTTGGTCGCAACGATACGACATTTTGAAAATTTTCTCGGAAATTCACGATTTTAGAATAAAGTTTAATAAATGCGTTCTAATGAATACTTTTATTGTTTTACAGCGATTGGTTTTGGTCCAGCAAATCATTTCCAGAACAATACTTTTATTTTCAGAGTACTTAAAAATAAATATTACAAGATATTTGAAAAAAATCATGATTTTTTGAATGAGTGAACAAGTGACAAGTATTCAAAATAAACTTAAAATAGACTTGAATTTCTCAAAATATCTCAGAAGTTTATTGAGATATACTTAAGATATTTGGTTTTGAAACAAGCAATATATTTTTGTTTAAACAATCATATTATTCATTAGTATATAGTACATTGTACATCAGCCATTCCATAGCAAAACGATATAGTGGTTCTCAGAATTTCGGTAGTTTTGATCCTTATCGCAAAATATAAAACCTGTATTTTTTGTATGTTATCATTAGGGTCACCATTCCCATGTTAGGGTGGTCCAACAAATCAATTGTTTTCAAAAAAGACTTTTTTCAAAAATACATAACTTAACTGGGCCGATTTCAAAATAAAAAATATCAAATGAAAGGTAATTGCAAATACTTTTAAGGAAAAATATAATGATACTAATAAATAGGATTTTGTATTGAAAAACATTTATGGTATTTGTTTTTTTTTTTTTATGGTTTTCATGGTTTGTAGACAGAGGGCGCAATACGTGTTAAAAATTTTCCTTGAAAATTTAAGCTTTTTGAAGCACAATACCACACAATAAGCGATGTGTTTTTGTTTGGGTTTTGTTAAATATTTTTTGAAGGGTTTTTCTACTAGCTAGTCTAGTCGCTAGTAGAAAAACCCTTCAAAAAATATTGATCAAAACCCATAAAAAAAAAGAAAAAAAAAACAAATGCGTCTCTCCCATGTAACGGTCGCTATAAATCAATGGAGACTCATAGGAGTATTGAGCGAAACCCCAAAACATAATAACTTCAAAAAAATGTTACTCAAAAACGAAAGAAAAACTAACCTCGCTGATTTTTTTATATGTTGAGTAAAAAAGCCTAAATTTCTGTCTACAAACCATGAAAACCATAAAAAGAAAACAAATACAATCAATGTGTTTCAATACAAAATCTCATTTGATATATTTTATTTTTCGTAAAATGTATTTGTAATTCATTTTCATTTGATATTTTTGGACCACCCTAATGACATCATAAAAATACGGGTCTAATGTATTGCGATAAAGAACAAAACTACCAATTTTTACGAAACTCTGAGAACCACTATATCGTTTTGCTATGGAATGGCTGCATTAGGGTGAGTCAACTTTATATGGTGGATCAAAACCTCCTGATCCCCACTGTTTTTTCATTGTTAATTAAAGTCACTACCCGCTGTGCAAAATTTGAATGAATTTGGTTACGATCTGGAACGCTGGGAGAACTTTATAATTTGTATGGGTTAATGTATGAGTAGCGGAACAAAATTGTTCATTAGCTAGCCAAAAGCTCAAAAATTGATTAATTTGTATTAATCCTGGGACTTAGATTGGTAAAACTAAACAGAAAAACTTTGTCGAAAATTGCAAATTGATTTGACTTCTGTGCAGAACGTTACTAAACCTTTACTAAAGGCCAAGAGCTCTACGCATAACTACAGTCTAATATATAAGCTTGTAGGTATGCGTAGTGCACTAGGCCTAAAGTAAAACCATAACAACTTTTCGTACAAAAGCTGAATCGATTTGCAGTCTTGGACAAAGTTGTTTTGCATTGTTTCCTAAATCTAATTACCAGGTTTGTTAAAAATTTATCAATTTCTATATTTTTGACAAGCAAATTAAAGGTTTTGTTCCGTTCCCCATACATTTTCCAAAGCAAATTTTAAAGTTCTCCTGCAGTTCCAGATCATCACTAAATTTATTCAAACATGACACAGTTGATGGTTACCTAAATATACATCGAAAAAACAGTGGGGGTCAGGGGTTGGGATCCACAATATAAACTGGACGCACCCTAATGTACATAAAAGGATAATATTAGGCATTACATTTGATAACGGCACAAAAGCATTTGTAAACAAACTTTCTACACGCAAACCAAAAATCTATTACAATGAATGTTAGTTCCATTTCCTATCATCCTCTGTATATGAACATCGCAGCGAATGTTAGAAGTTGACCTTGCAGGCGATTTAATGGTTTTTTGCCTTTTTTTATTTCGTGTTCTGTCTGTGCTTTCACCTACACAAGCAAGCATTTGCCTTGATTTTTATGTATAACATGGTAGAACGACGCACACACTTGCCTCGAATCTCTCCAGCAGAAAAAAAAAGCATACGAAGTCGAGTGTGAGATGAAATGAGCGCTTCTTGTTTGCTTTTAGGCTATCCTTATCCAGAGGCATGGAGAGAACAGTGGAGAAAGCACAGGTCTAATAACCGCAACGTTCGTTGTTCGAGTCCAGTCGGCAACCTTTTTCCTATTTTAATTCGACATAATTAATTTACCTCACCAATACACTCTACATTTTTCGGTCTCCAATTTTCTTGCATTGGACCGCAGCTAGGTATATCGCATCCTCGGTTCATGCGGTCTCCACTGACATGATGATGAATCCCACATAATTGTAAGCGAATCTTACATCCACCGGTTGGGTGTAAGGCCCTTTACACGTGAACCAACAACATTATCGGATAGGGGCAACTATCATCTTTCCGAAAGTGGTATTGGTTTGCGTGGGCGTGGTTCGCGTGTAAAGGGCCTTAGAAAGTTTAAATTTTCAATAGCGACCAAAAATATCCATTAGTAACATCCCAATAACGCGTTCATCTAGATAAAATTGATAAATAGCAGATTTTTAGCGATGGGCCCAATCTTAGATCCATAGGCCAACATTAGAGCCATTTCCCCTATGTTGCGTTCACTTGCACATGTTTGAGAAAAATCATTCAGAAAATTATAACTTTTTAATTTTTATGAGATATATATATTTTTTGTTCCTAATAATAAAAGTATTGTTCTGGAAAAGATTTGCTGGACCAAAACCGATAGACAAAAAATAATAAAAGTATTTATTTGAACGAATTTATAAAACTTTATAAGAAACACTGTTGTTTGAAGATGTAAAGCTTGAATGTTTTCAGCAACTTTTCATAAAAGTTTACGTTATACAACTTTGCTCAAGACAACAAACTTCTAGCGTGCAAAACAAATAAAGTTGGTATCGCTAGGCCATCTTTGTGGCAAAAACTTTAACTATTCGGCGAAAACTTGGACTAAGACGTCAACTCAATTGGCTCCGATCCCAGAGCGTTCTTAATTTTATCCTGATAAATTTCATTCCCGGCCCACTGTACAGTGATGTGACAAAGAAATATACCAGATTTTAAATACTCACCATCAGGGCGCAGTCGTATTGGAGGCGAGGTCAGCTTAAGCGTTGATGACAGGGCATGCGAGTCCAGCGGCCCTCCAAAGACATACTCATACGTGGCTTCCTGACTCAAGGTTGCAACTGGAATGCGGGTGAAATAATAATCTTTTTTGTTATGTTATTATTTGGGCTTGTGCTTGGTCCAAAGTGCATTTGGCGATGAAAAGTTGAGAGTGCTAGAATATTTCAATTACGATTAACTGATAAAACAAACGATGTCGGAATGTGGAATGATAATCATAACGAAATTATGGAAACAAAGTACTTACTTGAACTCATACTTGAAGGAAACACTGAACTAAATCATACCAAGAAATCAAAATGCACTCTATTCCCATCGAAGTTGAGGAGATAACGAAGTGAGTTTTGAACGGGGAGGATCATGCTCGCAAATGGATTCCGACAAAATGAAAATAAAAAAAAATATGTTACACTCAATCAAATATCTAGCGAGGAGCGGCGATTCCGTGTCGATCTGGCAACCAACCTGGAAACACTGACAGCGGTTGTAACACTTGCGTCGAACGTAACGGCGGTGGTAACGGCGGTAACTGTGGCTCCGGGCCGTTCGAGATGGAAGACGGAGGAGAGATCATCGAAGGGTCGCCGTTTGCCGCCATAACATGGAGACGGCCGGCTGTTTCCGATGCGAATGATGTTAGGTGTTGTTAGTGCGATGTGGTTAGTATGAAACCGACCGAGAACGAGACGGAAAGCAAAGACAAATGGTATTTATTTAGGGTTAGTTTGTTAGTTTGTGACACGTTCGTTGATTACAATCAGTTTGATATGCCGTACGCCAGGGAAGAATGTCTGTAGCACGCACCGTCGATAAGATCCCGCATTTCATGAATGCCAGCACTCACCAACAGAGTAATTTTCCAGCAAATCGATTCCCACATCGAGTGCACATGATATCGGAGAATGTTGCCGCAGAGGACATGGTCAACCGAGTGAAAAATTTCACCTATCTCGAGCAGTTGATCCCCGATCGGAATGGACCTGAACGATGAGTGTGCGCTTCTCTATGCCAAGGCAACCAGCCGTAAGATATTATTCAGAAACTCCCCCCTCTCCTACTCTCTCCGCAACACACATATTTACTTATTCACATTCCAGCTTGGTTACAGCAAGAACTCGCTCCAAACAATGCCGTTATACGGGGAGAGTCCAGTTCAAGGAAAGACTTCTGCTCTGCACGGAAAGGATGCTTGATGCAAGGTTACCTACCTATATTGCTTGGTTGTTGCTGAGTTGTATGCTAAATCAGACATTGCATTTGTGGAGCTAAAATATGAAGCATTTGCATGCAGCACACGGTTCCCGTTCCATCCATAGCAAGATGCATTTTTCAGCAACCATGACACCAGACCAACATCGTAGGAGAATAAGGTAAATATCGTGCCTGGGGCATAAACAGCACACACAAAACCCCTAAATCTTTAGTCGGGCTCTGCTCTGGAGGAAGTTGCAGCAGGAATAGAAAGGAAATGGAACATACCGCACCGGTCTGTACATTTCTGTGGATGCCAGTTTGAGTGCAGAACTGTGCTCATTGGAAAGTTTTAATTTAATTATTATGGAAGAATAACTTCAGTGCGGTTGTGTAGCAAACCGGAAATATTGCTGTGGTGGTTTGAAGTATCAGAGAATGGGTAAATTTTCCCACAAAAGTCATTTAATTGTTTTTTTATTTCGGGCAAAACGAAAATCATCCATATTTCTGTTTTCGAACGAATCTACAGGGAAATGGTTTTTGTAACATTAAAACAAGGAAATTCTCCATAAACCTTGGAAATGTTCCTTTACTGCGTAGCGAATAATATTAGGATAAACTTCTTAAAGAAGATTATAAAAGAAGCAAAAATTCGACTCGCTATTGAGTAAATTCACTTTTGACGAAACAAGTCGACTCAAATTTGAGTCGGTCTGATCGACCGTGTATACAAACTGTAAATTATTCCTGCACATATTAATAATATAGCCTCCATCCTCTGTACATATCATAATAATAAAGCCTCCATGTATCAAAATTTTCGAATATAAGTTTTAGTATAAAGCGGATACGATTTCTAATAAAGAGTACACACAGTCACGCAAATCAAACATTTATAACATTCAATGTTAGTTGCATTTTCTATCATCCTCCGCAGAGAATACATCATCCTCCGTTGATGCGTGATGATGAATCCCACATAATTGTAAGCAATTTTACATCCCCCGGTTGGGTGCACAATTACATTACATACAGTAACATTCAGAACAAGTTGAACATTCAGTTTAATTCAGTCTAATTAGTCCTCTGACAAATTCAAAAGAGAAAGTGATATAAGCCCAACCCGAGCAGGATAAAATAACGAATGAGTACCTCATTCTGATCTGATACCTAAATTTGGTATTGACTAGCATGACATAAGAGGTAAAATACCAAAGAATAAAACCAAGAAATTACATGCAAAATACTTTCTTATAAACAAAAAATGATGTTTCTTTCCTTTATTTAACGTTGGTCTCTGTTCCGCAATCCAGCGCCAATCACCGACGAACATCGATTGCCATCCATTAACGGCAATCGAATGTGCAAGAAGGCAGCTTCCACACCTGCGTAGGATATCGCACCAATTCAACACACATGGGCCGGGACCAACGGCTTTACTTCCCTTCCGAAGGTAGACGTGTCCAGAGATTATTATGCCTCAGAAAAAAACCCACCGACATCGGTTGGTATTGAACCCAGACCCATTGGGGTGAGAAAGCAGTCACGATTACCACTACACTACCGGCACCGGATAAAAAAATATATTTGGATACCATGTGGATGTGTCTTGAAAGTCTCTTTAATAAAGAAAGATAAGATAAGATAAGATAATACCTGTGTGGTATTGTTTTGGTATTGCTTTTGCCTAATTTTGGTATTGGAATGGTATTGTGGAAATATTTTTGGTGTAGGACTACGTCTTTAATTTATATACTGGGGGTACACTTTGTGAAAACCGAAAATGGAACATGAAACAAAATTATGAAAGATTTTGAACATCAATAACTCAGCTGCCCCTGGACTAATTTCAATAATTTTATCACCAATCGATCAGAAATATTTCCACGCATCTAAACCAATGCTTTTGACTGATGAATTTTTTTTAACAAAAAACTATTGAAAAAGTGATAATGTTAAGCATTGTCCAATGTACAAATAAAAAGTTATAATTGTATCACTGTTTTCATGAAATAAACGTTCTTCCCAAATCCAGTCGCCATAATCGAGTACCACTTGGTTGCACATCATTCTGCTTTAAACTGAAAAGATGTAAAACAGCGCTGCTGTCTAGCCTCAACTTATTCGCTGCCAGACTGCTGAGCAGTACAGTCGACGTTTTTCTCTAGCTCGCTTCGTTCGTTCGATTGCGTTATTTCGTTTAGTCTCGCGTTGTGTAGTGACGCTCTTGCTGACCCAGCTATGGGTAAAAAATCTCGCGGTGGTGCGAGTGCCGACAATCACGGGAAATGGTCTAGGCCTGAAGACAATAGTGACAGTGTGACAGCTGCGAAGAAGTTGCTTGACAACAATCGATTCTCTGTTCTGAAGGACGGTGCAGAGCCGGAACAACAGGACCGCCGAAAAAGGACAGAATGCCGCCCTTCTACGTAAAAGTCTTCCCTCCCGAACTGCGGGAAAAATAAACTTCTTCATCACGAAGGGCGTCCGGTGCACCACCCAGCGGTGCACGAAAGGATTGATGGTTCCTGCGTTGAACCATTACAACGCGGTTCAGACCATGCTGGACCAAGCACAGGTGGATTACTTCTCCCACGACATCAGCCGATTAAGGTGGTCCTACGAAGACTATACGGCATGGACACAAGCGTCCTATTGGAAGAGCTGGTGATTAATGGACTGAGCCGGTCAAAATTCACAATATGGCCCGCCACGACAAGGTCGTCAATTACCGTGACCAGCTATACCTGGTCTACCATATGAAGAACTCAACAAGTCTGAAGGACATACAGGGCATCAGCGTCCTGTTCAACACCATGGTGAAGTGGGAGCGGTGCAAGCCAGTTAGCCGCGGAGTCACCCAATGCTCGAACTGCCTGCTGTTCGAGCATGGAACGAAGAATTGCCATATGACCAGCAGATGCACCAAGTCTGGGAAGCAACATCAAACCGACGCCTGCGACAGACTCAATGAAGCCGATTCCATTTGCGCCAACTGCGGTGCTGCTCACAAAGCAACAAGCAAGGCCTGCCCGAAGCGCACCGAGTACATCGAGATCCGGAAGAAATCATCGACGAGAAACCAGCCCGGCCACAAGAAAGTGTCGGAAATTAATGACCAGAACTTCCCAACGGTACCACGACGACCAACTACAGTGCTGCCACCGCTGCTACTCAATCAACGATTGGCTGCTGCTCGTGCCGCTGCTACTGCTGCGGCGGCCGAAACCGCTCAAGTTCAAACTGCCGGAGTCCCTGCAAAGTCAGGTCAAGAGACGACTACTGCTCCACAGCCCCTGGCGTCAGGATGGACCATCCCTACCGCAGCCAGAAATCAACGATGGTTCATGGTTCACCGCAGCGGAACTAATGATCATCTTCCTCAAGATGCACGACATTGCCAACACCATTAAGAACAAATCCGATCAGCTCCAAGCTGTGGCTACCTTCATGCTCAGTTATGAACCGTGAGCTCATCAAAATCGCAAACTGACACGCTTGCTCGCTCAAGAGCAAAATTATCGAGCTCGTTGACATCCTCAACGAACACAGCATCGACATCGCCATCATCACCGAAACTCACCTGAAACCGGAGATGAACGTTTTTCTTCCTGGATTCCAGCTCGTGAGGTTGGATCGGACAAGCTCTATTGGTGGTGGAGTGGCCATCACTACCATCGCTACCATCGCAACAACATCTGCTGCCAGCTGCTACTCAGTTTTCAGCTGAAAATGATTGAAGCATTGGGAGTGGAAGTCTCCACACCCGTCGGCCCCGTCACCATCATTGCGACCTATTGTCCGAAACAAGCCAACGCCAGGGATTAATCCGCGGCAGATCTTCGGAGGGATATTATCAAGATAACACGACGCCGTGGAAAGTTCATCATCGCTGGCGATCTGAACGCCAAACATCAAACTTGGGGCAACCAAAGGCGGATATCTGGAGAACATCTCACAACCAGTAGCCCACCAAGAGTTAAGCTAGGACCACTTTCCGGTGGTGGCTGAGGTGGGCTGCTCCGTTAATCGATTTCATGCTTCCCGTCGAAATTACCATCGGGTAATTTCTGCTGGGATCGGCTCCAACAAGTCGTCGACGAAGCCATCGATTTCGGCGCCCTACTGGAGACGACTGATGACATCGATAGATCTCTGTGCGCCGTCGATGACATCGATAGATCTCTGTGCGCCGTCCCGGGCCCGCGAACAACACGTTCCAGCTTCCAGACGAGTGAGAGCCTTGATCAGAATACTAAAAGTCTAATCAGACTCCGTAACGCCATGCGTAGGCAGTACCAGAGAACTGGACTGCCTACCTTGACGACCCATTCCAACCGTCTAACCAATCTTATTAAAGCCAAAATTGTGGAACTCAGAAATGAGAATTTTGCCAATAACATCCGTTCCCTCCCAGATTG